AGCGAGCGCGGGAGAGAGCGACAGGGAGAGAGAGAGCGAGCGCGGGAGAGAGCGACGGTGGAGGCAGCGAGCGCGGGAGAGAGCGACAGGGAGAGAGAGAGCGCGGGGGAGACAGTGAGCAAGATAGCAAGAGACAACAACGGGGAGAGTGTGTGAGACTGCAAAGGGCTGAGTCCCTCAGAGACCGTGACAGAGCATCACGACCAATTTGTAAACATGCGTTCCGAAAGTCCGCTCCCTCGATGATCAGATTTCCGAGACTTGAGAAGGTGCAGCCTGGCCCGTGACAGGGTGGCGATAAGTGCACACTCGGAATTCCTGTCCCCGCCATCTGGAAGAGTTGTTCAGTTGCTCCAAAGTTCCAGCAGTCGCACATTTGTTGAGAGAATTTCTCCTGCTCCACGATGTCAGCCGTGGGTGAGAACTGTGGATAGGTGCGTCCATGCCAACGCAGGGCTGCTGGATTCCGTAAGTTTCTTGTTTCTGTCGTTAAAAAGAGTCACAAATTCCAGGAAATTGAGCGGCCTTGCAGCTTCGCAGCTCATTGTCCAGTGCTGCTCGAACCCAAACCGTGGCCTGGCTTTGGGCAAGGTCCCATAGGCTCACACCCACGGCCCGAGCTGGCCAGCGGGTGGGTGTCAAAGGTCAAAGATCTGGTCCTCCATCTCCCGTAAGGTGGTGACCCGGGTGGTTCTGGTCAGGCACATGGGACCCAGGCGTGCCCTCTGCGCTGAGGTGTGTCGTGATGCCGGGGGCCGCTCTGAGTGACAGTCGCGAGCCACAAGGGAACCGGCACCGCCGTCCACTGCCCCATCCAGCCTGCTGGACAACGCACAGCAATTAGAGCTCCCTATACCCACACCGGGATGAAGGCTCCCTCTACTCCTGGAACCGGGTCGGAGGAGCCACCACCAACACCCCCCTCCCGGAACCGAGCCGGAGGACCCCCTCCCACCCTCAGGAGCAAAGCATCCTCTACCCTTTTAAGCCGAGTGTAAAGCACCCTCTACCCTTTCAAGCCAAGTGTAAAGCACCCACTACCCTTCAAACTGAGAGCAAACCTCCCTGCACCCTTTTGAAGCAAGGAAGAAATCTCCCCCTACCATTCTGAGCTGAGAGTAAAGCTTCCTCTACACTGTCCCCACCGCAACCCCCCCATCAAACACTCCCAAGACAGGGACAGCACGGGGTTAGATACAGAGTAAAGCTCCCTCTACACTGTCCCCCCACCATCAAACACTCCCAGGGACAGGGACAGCACGGGGTTAG